ACATCTACATTTTGATGTCTATTAATATATTACAGAGCAAATTGTCAAGTTATTTAGGTTCCAACTTTCAACCTGCCCTCTAAAATTCCTTTGTAACAAAGAGGAAATAAGTTTAGCCCAGCTGCAACTTTATTCCTTTCTTCCATGCCTTAAATAAAGAATCACCTTACAATGAGCTCTTTGCCTCTCCGATTTCTCCAGTCCAAGGTGGTCCTGCAAGCAGGCCCTGGATAAAGGCTTAAAGCACCCTTTGCTATTCCTGGCTCTGACACTGACCTGCTGCACAGAGGGCAGCTTGGTTGACATCTCCCTGCCTCTCCTTCCCCTCCAGCCCCTGTTTACCCTGGCTATTTAGGCAGCAAGATCATCAGGGCAGAGACTGCTCTTGCTGGGCCTGTACAACAGCTGGCAAAACAGACACAGGCTACAGGACACAACTGTAATATCACTATATCACCAAAACCCACAAAGGCTTTGTGTTATTACTCAGCTACAGTTCAGATGCAGAAAGTGTTGTTAAGCCTTAACTTTTCTGTGATATGCTGCCACACATTTTTGAAACAAAAAATTCTCCATTCACCTTACATTGTGAATACATGGCTCAACTGTTACTTCAGCTGCTCCTGTAACTGAGTAAAGCAAAAATCTGAACATAAGGAGTCTCTTTTTACCATGCTCACAACAAGGTCTTGTAGCAGTACAGGTCTATACATAAAAAATTTGTTTATACAGAAAAAGTGACAACCTGATTTGGAGAGACTCACAGTTCAGATACCGAGAAGCATATCTGTGCAAAGCCACTCTGTATGTCCATAATAGTGACACAGTATTCTATTAAACATTTAGTTACTGCTGAATCAATGAAGAAATGGCACATTTTTAACACTGAGAATGTGCTTTAAGAACTCGTCCAGGTCAGCCCCTACCATCCCTAACATCCAGTGACTCAGGTGGCTATGAACCTAGTGACTCCCCTCTGCCAAAGGAATGAAGAGTACAGATACATCCCTCAAAGGAAACTTCTTTCTTCTTCTACAAGTGCACAATTGAATCCATGCCTTAAACACTTAACTTGGCTTACATCTGTGGCTCCCATTTGGCTGAGTCTACCAGAAAGGGAACACATTAGAGATTGTCAATGTTGTGAATATGCCTTTCAGCATAACAGCTAGTGTATGGGCTTAAGTTCACATCTTCCTTTGACATCATTAGCAAATTAATTTAATATTGTTTAAGTGCAAGCCTGAGTCCAGAGATAACCACAGCTGGCAATTTTTAGAAGTATGTAGCCAGGATGACAATTTTAAAAATTAGATAATTTTTTATTTTCATATACTACTATTTTTCTTCTCTATGCTGATAACAGCTAGGGGTTTGCAACCAGTTTCTTATCAATCTTACCTCTTCCCTATTTTGGCAGAAAAAAGTTTTATAAGCAAGGTGACTGTGAAAACATTTTTTTCACATACAAGATAAAGTTTGTTCCTTCTGATCCTTTTTGTTACAATTATCTGAAGATATACCCAACAGAAAAAGGATTTTAAAGAAATAGTGTCATTTTCAAGTTAATCACCTTTTTAAAAATGGGAAAGTGGAGGCAGGAGTTACGTTTCACAGCTATCTCCTTTAGGCTCAAATTTATTGCTATTTACAAAGCATTAACAGATGGCTTATCAAAAGCCACTTAACAGCAGAAATGATCAAACTGTTCTGAGAAGGATTTTTGTCTTAAACTGTAAATACTCCCTAGACTAGTTTTTAACTTATGCCAGCCTCCCAGGGACCATCAGTTTAAGATCTAATGCGAGAACCATGCATGTTATTTCATTAAGTATATTAACCGTAAACGGTTCCAGCCTTTGCTTTCTCAACTGCACACAGTATTGCACAAAAACCTCTCAAAAAGTAAAAACTAGTGTTCACCTTGTGCAACATTAGCCAAAACATGCAATAGAAGCTTCAGCTCCTGAGTCAAAGCCAAGTTTGACAAACTCAAGAGTTATTCCATATTGCTAAGAAAGCACAGTTATCAAGAAGGTCCAGCTATCCAACATCTTCATCACCATTCTATTTTCACAGTAGTGTTTTAGCTTAAATACCTACTCAGCTCAAATTTAACCTTCAACAAGCAATCTACCAAGTTCCAAGTTAAAATTGCTATTAAGAAGGACAGTGTGCCCAGAAGCTTGCCTAAACTCCCTCCCCACCTTGTACTGATTATTCACATAAAATACAGTATCTCTCTGCAAATTAATTGCAGGAGCAGCAATCTGGGAGATTGCTCTGGATCTTGGAGACATGCATGAGGAGCAAGTGCTACAGAAGCGACATGGCTAGCTAAAACCCTTGCACTGCCACAGAGACTATTAAACTCTTCTTCAGCTAAGTACAAATTGTACAGCTGTACAGCTCAACACATGCAGCCATACTGGTTCTTCTGCAGATGTTCAGATATCCAGACCTCCTGGTTCTGAAATATACCCTTGCCTTGTATCTGTTGCCAAACTGTCTACCCTACTGGAGTAAAACTCCTGCAACTGCCCCCAGATGCTGGATCTCCACCCAGGAAAAGCAAGTGTTTGTTTTTCAGGTATTCTCCATAGGATATAGTACACTATTTCAAGGAACTGGAGACTGTCTTGAGCCTTCTATGAAGTTAAAAGTAATTAAAGGAATCATCCTCCAGATATATCTCAAGGTTTCTTCATAAACACTTGTAATGTAACTTAGTGTGTTATCTATGACTGAACTCCCCAGGACCAAGGAAGTGCTGACCAATGGTAAAAGCAGCTCTCCGTAATGGAGTTGTTTGAGGGAAAACTTGAAAATAGGACACAGCACAAAAGTACATCCTAGAACTACTAAAAAATAAACCCTGTTCATAGCAAATCTAACAGCACCGGAATCCCTGTGAGTTCATTATACTCAAGCAGCCTTCCCTTCTCTGAAACCCTCTGACCTAGCAAATCTCTTCTGAAGCTGTTTATAGACCTGCATTCCTCTGCAGGGAGAAGTGGTGGTCCTTACACACACTGCACCTGCTCTGCTGTACACCTGATCCCTCCTGCAACTGAAGGAGCAGAGTATCACCTTATTCTTAATGAAAAATACAGACTTCATTTCCTCAGGAGACAAAATCATATATCACAGTAGAAAAGAGTCCAAAGCACAGCCATTCCACAGTGCTTATTCCTGCTGACTTCCAAGGGAACTGTGCTTAACTTCCAACCTGTGAACACTGAGTGGGTTGAAGTGCTGACCTGAAAACCCAAGGATTTTCAGCACCAGCAGATTTCAGTTCCTGCCAGCAGAAGTCATAATCGTTTCTCTAAAGTCTATGCATTGATGAGACAGCAACATCAGACAGCAAAACAGGGGTCAAAACTTGCCATCCCTTCTTTTGAGTCATGTCTTCACAGTGTTTATGGAAACAATACTGAGTCACTGAATGACAAACAAGATCCATGCTGGCAGCTAAACAGAAGCCATAGGAAGGGATTTGTAGATCCTAAGAACACAAACTTCTCTTGGGATCCTTAAATGAGGAAGGAAGGCCCACTTTGTGAGGTTGCCTCCAAGTGGCATTTGGTACACAGCCAAATTTGAGAGAGGAAAGGCAAACTCTGGATCGCCACCAACCATTGCCAAGGCCCAAGCCCCAAAGGTACTTCATCTAAGAAGATGCTGGTGTCATACATACTGCAAAGCCTAGAGGGCTTGACCCTATTCCTAACCTGTGTTATGCTGTTGAACTGGGGGAAAAAAAACTCAAATAATTCCTACTCACAAAACTTTAAAACCCAGAAGCCATGAAAAGTCCAGGAGTCACTTGCTCTGCGCCAGCTATCACCATTTATACCAGCAAGCTGCTCTGTGAGAATTTAAGACACATGTGTTTGTGGGGGCTCACAAAAGCTCTTTCACCTAAGAATGAACTAAGCCCGCTCTCCAGCCTTTTCCCAGGATGCCATCCTTGCTCCCTTGCAGCTTCTTCTCTGAGGTGTTTTCAAGACCATGGCAAGGATCACTGCCCAGAAGTGGGGAGGGCGTGTGGGCATACATCAGGGTGTGTGCTGCACACAGCAGCTCCATCCATCTCCTTGTGCTCCAACCTCCCCTAGCCTGAAGCCCCCAGGCCTCAGTGTTTGGAGGGGTCTGCGGACTGAGAAGATCACAAAAATCACAGAGCTTTTAGGGTTGGCAAAAACCTCTGAATATAATCTAGTCCAGCCTCCCTGCCAAGGCAGGGTGACCTAGAGCAGGTTACACAGCCATGAGTCCAGGTAGGTTTTGAATGTCTCCAGAGGAAGACTCCATGCCCTGCCTCGGCAGCCCATTCCAGTGCTTGGCCACCCTCAGTGTAACATTCTTCCTCACGCAGAGGTGAAACTTCGTTTGTTTTAGTTTATGGACGTTGCTACTCATCCTGTTGCTGGCACCTGCCTTTGAGATACTAATATGCATTGATGAGATCCTTCTCAGTCATCTCTAGTCTGAAGAGGCCTGGCTCCAACAGTCTCTCCCCACAGGGAAGAGGTTCCAGACCCCTTATCATTCTTCGTGGCCTCTACTGGACCCTCACCCATAGCTCCCTGTTTTCTTGTATTGAGAAGGCCAGAACCGGACCCAGTTCTTCAGACGTGGAGAGGGCCTCACGCTCCAGCACTCCCGCTGGGCCTGACAGCGACCCATCCCAAGAAAGCGCCGCCATCCCCGCTCCCTCCAGGGGACAAGAGGCGCCTCCCCCCACCCCTCCGGCAGCGCCGGGGCTGGGCCCCGCACCCCGGTGTGCGCCACCGGCCGCTCCCTGCCAGGGAGGCCCTTCCCGTGCCTGGCCGCCCCTCTTGGCCAGGGGAAAGGGCGGCGCAGCCGCGCTCGGGCCCGGCCCCGCGTCCCCCGCCCCTCGCGGCCCTGGCAACCGGCTGGGCCGCGGCATCCCCGGCCTGCCGGGCCGCCGCCGCCGCCGCTCCCCGCCCTTCCGCCGGGAAGGCCGCGCTTACAGGTCGGTGCCGAGCTGGGTGAAGCCGGAGTTGAGGCAGCCGCGGGCTATGCGCCTCCAGAGGACATCGCGGCTGCTGAGGAAGCGCAGGCGGCGGCAGACCTGGGCCAGGCGGCCCAAGGCCTGCGCGTCCAGGTAGGAGCAGATGAGGAGCAGCAGCTCCTCGGGTAAGGCCCAGAGCGGGGAGGGGGGGGAGGCGGCCCGGGATCCCCCCTCCGCCTGGGGGGATCGGGGGCTGCCCTTCCTCCCCATGGAGCAGCAGCTCCCGCCCCTCCTCCCCGGGAGCCGGAGCTGCTGCTGCCCGGGGGAGGCCAAGCCATGGACGGGGCAGCCGCTCCCCAGTCACATGGGGCAGAAGCCGCTGCCTGTCACTGCCCCCTCCGGGGGAGGAGGCGGCTGCCGGGACCGGAGGGGGCACGGGCCGCCGAGCCCACCCTCGTTAGCAGATTAATTCATTAACGGGAGCCGCTGGGACTCCCTCTGTGCCACTTGCCCTCCCCCACACCCCCTCGCCACGCCACGACCGGCTCACGGGTCTGTGTGTTCCGATCTGGGCTCAGCGACGTCACCTGATCCGAGTATTCATTAATAACGTGAACAATTAATGGTGGGAACGGTGATCCCAGGTAACCAGAACATCTGCCTCGGCGCCTGGAGCAACACCAGCTAGGTACTGCACTCCTGCAAAGGAAGGTGAACAGCAAGGTGATTTAATGCTCATTAATTATCCCTGACCAGGGTCAGGAGCACCTGTCACCCACGAAGTGACAGCAGGGGTCATCTGGTGCTGCACAGCAGTTTTCAACACGCACAGATTCCTGTGACACATAAAATAAAGTGTCTTCCCCACATAAGAGCAGGCCTTGCTACAACGGATTTAGGGCTGGCTTTTCACCAGCACCCTTCCTTGCAGTCCACCCCCCAGAGCTCCACAGAGTGAGATCTGAAAAGTGCTCACAGTTCACACGTGTGTGTACACATACACAAGCACACCCCTTTGAAAGAACAGTTCATAATAACTGAGTCATTGTTGCCATCCACAGGAGCCTGGAGTACTGACAACGCAGGATTCTGGTCCAAAGTGGCAGAGTAGCTCTCCACAGACAGTGGAGCAGGAAAATATGAGTCTAGTGTTGTGTTATTCTTTCTTACAGTACTTTCCACTCTACAGAAGCCTGAAATGCTGGGGAAATTTCTCCCTCAGAATAAAAAAAATAGATAAATTATAAGAAGTTCATCATCTGCCTAGAATGCTTTGAACAGGTATCACTTAGCCACCACAATCAACATCTCATTTTGCAGGGTGGAGTCGGATAATAAATTTCAGCATATAATGAGGTTACCATAGTATACAGGCCACTCGACAGTACTTGCATCCTATTCCAGAAAGTCATCTTGTCTGTCTAATCTGAAGCTCCCAAATACTCATATGAATAAATCACCAGGTCTGGAAGCCTCATATTTTAGATGTTCAAAACTGCTGGATAAGGAGCTCTCTGGTCCATTTACACTGAGTTTTATATACCCTGGAAGTCAGGGAAGTTTCAGAAGGCAGCGGATTTTTTATCAGCATTTTTAAGGAGTGATGTCTGAAGTATTTAAAGATTGCTCAACCTGAATTTGAGCTCAGGTGAAATAACAGCACATCTAGTACAGGACTTAAGTAGCCAGCTGAAAGGGAGGTAATACAACAAATTTTGCTTAAGATTATGGAAACTGAGTGTGAATGCAGTTTTATGTCAATTTTATGTCTTTCTGATGATATGAAATTCTATTCTTTTTGTAACAGACTACAATGTTGTCTGAAACATTAAAATTATTAAAAGCGGAGTGACTTCTCTGTCTGAAATTGTTATTGTAAAGACATACTTATTACCAAGTTGGTAGAATCCCACAGAGACTGCTTATGCACCTTACACTATTTAATATATTTACTAACAATCTGAAAAAAATCTGAAATCCTTCTTAGGAAGGATCTGAAATCCTTGTAGGAAGCACAAAGCATGGGGCAAGAGGCAAAGGATGCTTATGGCTGCATAGCCCTAAGTTAAGTGTAGGCATAATCACATCATATGTATTTCAATCAAGCCAAATGTAAAGTCTCACATCTAGGAACAAAGAATGTAGGTCACACTGAAAGGATGTAACTCTATCCTGCAAAGCTGCAATTCCGTAAAGACTTCATTAAGATGAATAATCAGCTGAATGTGAGCTCCTTCTGCTGTGCTGTGACCGAAGGGCTACTGCTGTCCTGGGAAAAAAACAAGAGCTCGGAGTTCTTTTACCTCTGGTTTTGATGCTGTTGCGACTGTTTTGGAAATAGTTTGTCCAGACAACACTTCAAGAAGGCTGTTTAAAAACTAGAGGGGTTTCAAAGAAGAGTAGTAAAGAACGATTACGGGGCTGTCAAACATGTTTTGTAGTAAGACCCAAAGACTCAATCTATTTTAGCTTTCTAAAGAGAAGGTTAAGGTGTGAGGTGATCATACCTTATGAGCACTGAAACAGGAAGAAAAATCTGGATCTTCCATTTAACAGACAAAGAGATAAGATCTCTTGACAGAAGGTGATGGGAAACAAATTCATCAATGAAGTGTGCTTTTGTAGTGAATAAAATCAACAGTTGAAACAGCTTACCAAGATTTATGGTAGATTCACCATTACTGGGTTTATAAAAAACAACCAGTTGGGTTTGGTTTCAGCTTTTTTTCCTTATTGAGAGAGAGAGAAGCTTGACCACAACTGCTAAAACTTAACCAGGAATTGACCTGGAGAGTCCTAAACTCAGGATATCAGACCAAGACAGTCCAAGGGATCTCTTCTAGTCTTAGACTCTTACTTTACAAAGGCAGCATGTGCATAGTGTATGTCTCCCTGCACCGTGTGGCACCCAAATTCCAGTGGACAGTCTCCAGCCTCTGGCTGTGCTGTTTTACCAAGGAAAACTTGGTGCAGACAGGAAGGAACCTGGGTGCAAAGTACATGTGCAGTATGACCCTCTGGGATACCTCAGGGTCCAGGGTATGGACAAATGCATGTGAAGAAGGGGGGGGGGAGGCCTTAGTGCCTCCCAATTTGTAACCCAAGGTAACTGTGAAATATTTTGTTAAGATGAAAGGTGTTTACACCCAGTAATCTCAGTGAAGGTCAACTATGCTCCAAGCAGGGGGACACAGAGCAATTTGAAGGAAAAAAACCCAATACATTCCTCTTAAGAATGGCATGGTTTTCAAGTATGGACAATGGTCTTACAACATAGTAACAACAGTTACCCGAAATGTAGATGTCACCCATTACTTTCTCTGGGTTCTTTTTTAAGAGAAATATACCAGCAACTGCATACCCCTGCACCCACTTTCTCAGGCATGGTTTTGGATACTGCCTGTTGCAGAGCTGTCACAAAGCTGTGCATTGCAGACTAAGAAACCCATAGCCTTACTCTTTGAAATTATGCCAAAGTAAGTGCTTATGTAGGGGTCTGCAGGAGCAAGAACTAAGGAAGGTTCTGAACCATTCCTAAAACTATGTGTAGCATGATTATTTTGCACTGCATTGTTCACGCTCTAATAAAGGACTCAAAGCAGGTGCTCAGTGCAGTGTAAGTATAAGAATGTATCTTTCCCAAATCTTACAAAGATCTTTTTCATGGCTCATGACCAGTCTGAAGCCCTAGAAGAGGGGCTAGGGTTCTGTGCTGAAGTATCAGACCATTCCAGTATCACAGCTTGTAAACTAAAAATCAGGGGGCTTATATCTGCAAAGCCTGAACAGCGTAAGTCAGTGAAATCCAGCTTGAAGAAACACTATTTGAATACCTGCCTGTCAATTTTTTTTTTCTGTCTTCAAGGGGTTTTATTATTTGCAGTGCCCTCAAATACACCTTTCCACCTAAAGACACATTCATGTGGACAGCTCTTTGTTTTGTTTTTCCTTCCAACCAATGCTTTTGTGTATTTCTGAAACTTAAGACACCTCCTCTGCTACTACAGTACTTATCTGTAACACCATCGCTTTGAGGGATTAAAGCAGGTTACTTGTTACACACTTAGATCAAGAGTTATCTGAGTAGAAAGTCTATCCCGTTAGGGTTGGCGGAAACTGTTTTTGATCTTGAGTTGTTTTGATTTTCTCTAAGAGCAAGTAACATGTTATTTTAACTTCTGAATAAGGTGTGCTACCTGACTGTGTTTCTTCTGTTTGGCAGAAAGGATTAGAAACCTCCACAGAACTTGCACTCTATTAAAGCAGAGTGCTCACCATTGAGAACCAAGGAGCTGAATTGTTTTCAGATTATATGTGTGTGTGTGTGTCTTTCCCACATCAAAGACTTTGATGGAAGCTGTTCACGCTATTGTCAGGAATGCAGGGATTGGCACAAAGGTGATTAGCAAAATTGCTTTTCTGTAGGAGAAGCACAAAAATTATCAAAGGATTAAAGAGGATAAAATTAAAAGGTTATGCTGAATTTGGGGGCAAATTTTCTGCTTTTAAATTTTGTCCCAAATTAGACATATTGATTTGGTTTTACCTATAAAATATTTTCCAGAAGAAACCAGGATTAGAAACTGTTTCATATGGGTTCTGTTAAAGGGAAATGAAAAATCATCTTTCCTTAAAAATATTCTCAACAGACCCTATTCCAAAACTCATCCACAAGAAGCCTTTGACGAGAACTATGAGCACACAGCTAGCTGCCATCCCTACAATGTCCTTAACAGCCACAGGATTGGGACCTTTAGTCATGATTATGCTGAAAATTATGATGACAATTCCATAAATCAGTTTGTCATCAGTGATGCTGTTTGTTTACTTTTCTCACTACACTCTGCTGACAAAGATACTAAACTGAGAGGATCACTTTCCTTATCCACATGCTAGGCACATGCAATGCTTTTGTATTTTGATCAAGCAGCTGAGCTGCTTGAATGGTTTGGGAAAAAAAGGCAATAAAAAGGGATTCTCAAATATTTTAGTGTATCAAAATAAACAGAGCCTTCCAGAATCTTGCTTGGCAAAACTGCAGTGCAATAAAAAAAAAAAAAAAATCACCTCCCATAGCCTGCAGAGGTGTCTTATCTTGCTGGTTCAGACTCTTTATTGTGCATTTTATTTTGAACAGTCCTCTATTATTTGCTAAGTACAAGCCATATACCTATTTCTTGTCTTTGCATTTTGAGTTTTGTTTGTTTGTTTTACTAATCTGTTCTTCTCAGCAAGTCACCCGGAATATTTTATTTGTTTTAAACCTCATTTATCAAAGTATTATCTAAAGCATCGGTTCAGAAAATGTTCATTTTAACTGTTTTCCCAACAATGACCTTCTTCCTCCCCCCCCAGGCC